TTTTGCACCGGCTTTCTCTTGCTCGATTCCTTTTACATTGTTGCGGTAGTAGATTTTTTCGAGCAAAAGATTGCTCGAGATGAAATCGAGAAAAGATATTGTACCAAAGGCGTTGTTTATTGTTCTCCGGGATACACGACTGGAAACCTTCCAACTACGTAATGTATAGCTGAAGTGCCTTTATGGATGCACGTACGATGTATCTGCATCGTTACGCGTTAACCGTATCGAGGTCAAGGTCTAATTGTAACTGCAATTTTCTTCAGCAACTATTTCAATCATGTGTTACTACTCTTCCCTTACAAACTTCTACATTTATCTATTTCTCAAAAATGTTCAAATTTAAAAACTTCGGGAGCTACAAACTCATATTATACATATAATACATTATAATATAAATTTGATAGCTCGATTTGAAAATCAGTAAATATTATAAATTACTGTCCTCTTACAAACTTCTACATTTTTCTATTTCTCAAAAATGTTAAAATTTAAAAACTTCTGGAGCTACAAACTCATATTATACATATAATACATTATAATATAAATTTGATAGCTCGATTTGAAAATCCGTAAATATTATAAATTACTGTCCCCTTACAAACTTCTACATTTTTCTATTTCTCAAAAATGTTAAAATTTAAAAACTTCTGGAGTTACAAACTTATATTATATATATAATACATTATAAAAATAATTTGGTAGCTCGATTTGAAAATCCGTAAAAATGATAAATTTAAGGAATTATGTACGACATTTTCTGATCAGAAACAAGACGTTATCATTTGAGTAAAAGTTCATATGAATTCCTTCAGCGTATCATGCATGCGAAAGATTGCGAAATAACAAAAGTGCAGCGTAATCCCGTTACAATATAAGCGATCGCACACATAATCGGTATCGAAAAGCTGTTCTCGATTCGCATTCTTCGATTTGATCGTTTCGTGTCTGAATGTCGAGGCAATCAAATTAATTCGGTTAATGCCATTAATCGATAACGTTCCGTCCCTACTCGTTAACAGTTATCGCGTCGAGATTACCTTTTCCGATAACGCGTCGAATCGCGTTAAATACATCGCGCGATATTCGAACGGGTTGTTCGTAAAATAATTAAAAATCTTTCATTGTCGATAGTCTGTCGAAGCACGAGACGAATATCGGATTCCGTTTGAATCGTTGGCAGACCAAGCTCGAAGGGGAAGGGGGAGTATTAACGATGCTACACAGTCGGATGGCGAAATAACGAGGAAACCGGGACTCAACGATATCTGCACGCCCGCAACGGGACGCATCGCTTCTTTTTTTCTCCCTTTTTCATCCCCCTTTTTCTTTTTCCCGTTCGCTCGGAACCTGTCACCATTAACGTTCCGCTCTTCCTACTCGTTCTATCTGCCTCCTCCTGTCTCCTCGAAATTATTCGCGATTTTCATTCATCTTCCGCCTCGTGATTCTTGCTTCGCGAAATTGTTGCTGTTTTAAAGAGAACGCTCTGTATTTCGGCCGGTGGCGGTAATTAGCGTAAACGTGGAGGAGGTTCCTGGATTCTTGGAACTCGCCCAATATCCTAGACATTGTTTATGTGTTCGTAATAGTCGATAGTCGTTGTTGTTACGAGTCATTACGCTCCTATCCTAGTTATCCTTCACCCGTGGACACGTGCGCAAATGTGGCAATTTTTATTGCCACATTCATCAATTTCAAAATTTTCTTCTCAAATTTTTCGTTTACAAAAATCTTTAAAGATCAATAATTATCCTTGTTGCCCTTATCAAATTTTACTTTACTTTTCATACCTTAATCGTGCCATTTATTTAGCAGATGTCAAGACTAACTATTTAGGACTATAACATTAAAACGAATAAAGAAAATCAAAATGTTGTGAATATTTCATATTCAAGGATTCTTGATAATGCAACTTATAGATGGATTTGATTTTCAAATTGAAGAGCGTTCAAAATTTGAGTAAGGTTTGTCACATTTAAGTTGTAAGTGCGTCACGAGTGAGACTCGTCAAAGCACGAGAAGGGGTTAATTTAGTCTTCATCAACTTGAATATGATTTATTTATGAATTGATATTTGGTTATAATCATCCTCGATGCAAAAGTGTTAGAGTGAGATGTTAATTTAGAACGCATGTTATGCATGCAGATATATTATTGAGGATTGTCTGGAACGGTTCAACTTGTCTATTCACGATATCTTCGACGATATTTGAACAGAGAATAGCCGGAACACTGGTATCGTGAATGATACATGGATCTCTCGTAGTTCTTGTTCGTGGCTGTTATCGTCTCATTCGGTGGTAAAATTTTCAAGTGCCCTTTAACGTTCTTCCCAATGCGACTGCTGTCGAGTTAACGGGGTCGCGGCTGAATTCCAATGCATTGTATTCGACAAAACTTGTTCAAATTGGAAGGAAATTCCTCAAAAACTGCAATCTTGCGCTCCTCGACAGTGCCGTGCAAAAAATTGAGAATCACCCCAATTTGAACTCTATTTCGTTTCGAGTTTTTATCGCGTGGAGAATTCTCCAAGTTGAAAAATACGAGAGAATCGTTGTATAATTGCCAGGAACTGTACGAAGTTTATTAAGGTCCTACGGTAACATATGATAGGTAACATATTGCGAGTAATTGGAGCGAAAGAACAGTGGGTTTTCATCGGATAACGAAAACGTGGCAAGATCCGAAAGCCGGTGTTGGCCAGAGGTTATGCGTTCTTATGCAATTCGGTACTTCCTTGTTTTTCTGGTTCGCGTTTCCTCGTGTCGGCTCGTCTTCGCGGTTAGGCAGGTCGAGATAGCTAGAGCGAACGCTTGGCTACGTTCAAACAGCGGTTAAATATAGCCCGATCGCGGAGTACCTCACGAACGACGATGAACAAGCTACGCTCTCTCCCTGGCTCGCTCGCGTACCGTAATTATGCGACAATTACAAAGCAAGGACACGCTTCACACCGACACGTCGCGGACGACGCCAGAGCAACGACGACGACGTTCGGAAACCGACCATATTCTCTCTCTCTCCCTTTTCCTACGTTTCCACCGACCAACGTCTGTCCGCTTAATGAGCTACCATCGCGGAATTCGAGGGAAACCATTTACCGGCAAACAGTTTCTGTAATGCTATCAAAAGTAGTAGCGGAAAGCGGACAGAGCCTTTACTGCACACGCTAATGGGGCCTATAGTTGTAACTTTGATGACGAGGGACTGTTAACGCAGTCGAAACGATGATTTTATTAAAAGATTACATCCGCTCGCGGTGGTCTTCTTCGTATTAAATAGTACTATCGTTCGAGAATATGGTAGGTAACTGATGATACGTCGAGATATGCAAATTTGGAACTATCGATGCGATTGAGCGTCTTGCCGCTATATATACTTTAAACTCTACTTATATTGCCATGGACAGGGCTGGAGAAGCGCATGTTTCTTAGAATTGGCAATATAGTCAGAGTTTCGTCCCATAGCTGTACGATGGATGAATACAAAACAAATAAAATGAGCGGTCATATAACGAGTGGCGAACGTAAGTACAACTCATGGAAAGTATAACGTATGGCGATGTAACACGAGGGAAATACAATGTATGGCGACATAATGCGTGGAGAATATAATGCATTGCGAAAACAATGTGTGGCGATATAACGCGAGAAGAAATACAGTGTGCGGCGATATAACGCGAGGGAAGTATAAAGTATGGCGATATAATGCGTGGAGAATACAATGCATTGCAAAAACAGTATGTGGCGATGTAACATGAGAAGAAATACAGTGTGCGGCGATATAACGCGAGGGAAGTATAAAGTATGGCGATATAATGCGTGGAGAATACAATGCATTGCGAAAACAACGTGTGGCGATATAACATGAGGAGAAATACAGCGTGCGGCGATATAACGCGAGGGAAGTATAAAGTATGGCGATATAATGCGTGGAGAATACAATGCATTGCAAAAACAGTGTGTGGCGATATAACGTGAGGAGAAATACAGTGTGCGGCGATATAACGCGAGGAAACTAAAATGTACAGCAATATATCACATGGGGAATACAACACATTGCTAATACAACACGTGGCGATATGACACGTATTGGGAATGCAACGTGCGGCGATATAACGCGAGGAAAAGTACAGTACATCAGAAATATAACGTGTGGTGATATAACGCATAGCATGGTAGATAGAATATGAGATGACTTAACGTATAAAGCGTGCAACACGTGGCTATATGACACGAAGCGATTTAACGCATAACAATCTGACTATTCGGTTATACAACGCGTGGCACTGTAACACACAAAAATTCGAGTACCGTAATTGTCCTAATTTTCCGTTCCCCGTAGAATTAAAGTAATCATCCACTGAATCATCGAATTAGAGTTATTTCTGCAAAAAAGAAATTCACGGTTGATGCACGAAATCAAAAAACATGATTCGTCGAGGGTTCGCGTTGTTGGAGTTTATTAATCGAACTCGATGAAATCGCGTTGATTTCGGGTGAACGACGGTGGAGCGGGATCAAAATTATACGGTTGCTGGGAAAGCTGTATCGATCGTGGCTAAGTTTACTCGCGAAATAAATATCCGGCAAATTGAATAGGTTAGCGTGTCGTGCTCTGCAACGTGGTTGTTAATTGTATTTGTATCGGTATCGTATAACATTGATGCACAGGTGATTACCGAAAACGGAATTACCGGCACGAGGGGTAGGTTCCGTACGTTCGTGGCTAATTTACCGCTGAAAATCGATTGGTTAAAATTTTAATACGCCATTGTTGAAAAGATGCCACAAATTCGAACGGTCGTTCTATATATCTATGTAGAATTATTCATAATAATTTATATGACTTTTGATTAATTTCCTTCCATTGGTGATTTTAAGTTATTAATAATCAAGTTCCCATACAATTTTCATTTCAAATTTGATTAAACGAACTGTCATTTGTATAAAGGTTTCTCGACATCGGTGTTAATAAACTTTCTCTTTACTTTTCAGTGCCTCAACGAAGTTATGTCCTGTTTCATCTGGGACTCTTGAGGACGCTTCACTTGTTGATCAATATGTGGTAAGTTTTAAATTACACTCAAAAGTATCATCAATTCTCGGTTTAATTAGACTTATCGTTAAGGAAAGATAAATTCAATGAGAATTTTTAAAAAATATAAATAAACGTATTTTAAGAAAATGTTCTTTAATTGAACACTAAAACGATTATTCGTTAAGACGAACAGTAAATATAACTATAATTACGAATAAACGCACTGCCAGTTTAATCGTGTTGACACACTGATCTTGATAATAATATTAACTCTTAACATACTAAAATACGATATAGATTATAAAAATATCAGTAGCAAGTTTTTTATCGTACCGCTTCTGTTTGCCGTTTAAAGTAATTCCCACTAATAATTTGATTAAACGCGCGTCGTGAGGGTGAAGGTGTTAATGAGATTTCTTTACCCACCGGTGGCGATCATCAGGACAGTCAACACACCGAAACACCCTTTTTCGAAGTCACACACGAAAAACATTTTCCCCCTGCGAAAGGTATATTTACATACCCTGTGACCAGGCGATAATCATATCGATCACTCGGCGAGAATCGGCGGTCCGTATTCATCGTCGTGATCAAATATTTGCCGATATCTCATCGCGGCCCTCACCGGCTATCCCGTATCCCGTAATATTTTCACGGGCAGCTATTAAAGATTCCAAAGCGTAGGGGAACCGAGGGATGAGCAGGATGATGTTTAAACGAGGTTAATGCGAAAAAGAAAGGAGGAGCAGGATTTTTCAGTTACGGGTCAACCGGCCAGGAAATAATCTGTTGAGCGGAATCTCTGGTAGAAATTGGTAAAAGCGAGAGGCAAGTGCGCGTCGCTGGTGGCGTTTTCTCCTCTTGACGTAACGGCGAGATAGCAATCCTCCCGTGGTACCCTAATTAAATTGAATCACGAAATACCCGGAGCAGGAAATACCCAATGAAGACTTACATTAACAAATTAAAGTGCCTTCTCGTTCGAGGGATCCTTGGACATTTGCCAGTCTCCGTTTAAAAGGGAAAAACAATCCGCGGATTTTTATCTCCGAATGATCAACTCTATTATAATTTTCATGCACGGACGATCAATATGGAGACTTTCAATACTTCGGGGTCCTTGATAGTAATTTGAAAGTGTGGGAATTTTTGACTCAATATTTATTAGTAAAATATCGTCCATTTATTGACAAAATATCAAACTATATTGGCTATAAAAATTGTGAAATATTGAGAATGTAATTGATCGTCCAAGATGTTCCATTACAGCTGTTCCTACGTGGGCAAATAATCGTCGTCCGTAAACGCGAATTCACTTTGCGACAGCATTGTTCTTGTTCCTTGGTCCGTATTCGCTCGAACTCTGACCCGTTTCTAAAACGGATGTTATCCTGGCTGTTCGGGTTATGCTATGCTCGCGTATCGATCGCTTTCACCCCACTGTGTTACCTTCCTAGCCAACGATTTCCCCGATACCGGAGATCTCGGTGAAATTGAGGTAAAATATGCGAGCTACGATCTCTCGCGGATCAACGGTAAGAACGGGGTCCTGGATTTCCTTCGGAATAAAGAAGTAACGTTATAAATGCACGGCGTTAACGGGACCGATCGCTCTACCAGGAGGTTCGACAAATCGAAATCTTTTACTTAAGTAGCTATTCGAATTTTTCAATCCGAATGCCCTTGGTATTCAAATATTCGAGTATATTTGAATTTTAAATACAAATTCTACGTAATCCTATCGGTATTCTACTTTTCGATCTAAATAGAAACACGAAGTTACAAAGATCGTAGATGTGAAACTTACGATTATCGTAACATTGGTGATCTTTTCGTCGAAATCGAAATAGGTAACATATTGTATATCGAGATTTTGCCGGTATCGCAATGTAGAAGTTTTCTGTACGCAAGTTCTTGAAGGAATACCGATTAAATCGTGAAACGCGGATCACGAGATAGCCAGGCCGCAAATACATACGTCGACGCCGGGATAAACC